CTATGCAGATGAAATGCTTGACTCTTAAGAAAAATGAGAACTTATTATGAGCACTTGGGATAAAAGACTATTTTACAAGGGAAAAAAACAAGAGATTAAAAAAAGATTAATCTGAAACATCAAATGATCAAAGCCAATGAAACAGCTGTACAGAAAGTGGAGAGGAACATAGTGCATCGAGATTTTGATACCCAGCTGCTGCAGTCTGGCTGGGCACAAATCACGAGCCACTGAAGCAGGAACAAACTTTATTTTTGAACTGCAAGAAAACACTTCACACATGCTCCCGGGGAATTCTCCCCGAACGCCATGCGGCTCGCCCAGGAACCCCCAGCCGGAAATATTTCTCCTGGAAATCCCTCCTCCTGCACTTCCCCAACCAATGGGAACTCTCGGGGAATCTCCAGGAGATCTCCAAAGTAGCGTGAGAACTCAAAAGTAGCGGCCGAGGCGGATAGTAATGCCTCACCTGTCAACCAATACTGTTGGCAAAATGCCAGGGGCCATACAGACTCAGCTGTGGCTCTCAGCACCCAGCTCCTCTGCTGCTCATGTGGGAATTCAACAGAAAGGCCTTCTCGGGACACATATCTTTAACATTCTCTTCCTGAAAATAATTACTGATCATTACATTCCAGACAGCTGAGAAGTGAATCAAATTAAAAAATTAACAATGTTGAATTCATTCTGTAAAATAATTAGTTGTAGGCCACTAAGTGAGTAATACATTAAATCTAAATAGTCACTACTAGAATGCCTAGGGAAAAATAATAATATTCACAAAATCTTCAAAAGCATATAATATACAAATGTTGAGGTTCTCTAAAAACAGAGCCAAAATGATGTGTATACACTGTATCATAGAAAGAGATTGACTTTAAGGAATTGGCTCATGGGATAATGGAGAGTGGCAAATCTAAATTCATGTGTGGGATAGCAGGTGCAAGACCCAGGAGAATTGATAGTGCAGGTGAAGTCCAAAGGCAGTCCATTAGAGAATTCCCTCTTACTTGGGGTGAATCTAACTTTCCCTTATATTCAAGTCTTCAACTGACTGGATGAGGCCCACCCACATTGTGTAGGACAATTTGCTCTATTCTGTTGATTGAAATGTTAATATTATCTAAAAACACCCTTGCAGAAACACCTAAAATGATTTTGATCTGGATATCCCATGGACCAGTCAAGTTGACACCTAAAATTAACCATCACAACAAATAAAAGTATTTTAATCATATGTACTGTGATCTCAAAGGTCAGATTACATCCATAAAACTGGAAAAAGTTGAGAAGAGAGAAGGAAAGAAGTACATATAGTGTTGTGCTAGTAAACCAACTCTCCAAAACAAAAACATACCACTCCCTGTGCCGGTCAGCTTTCCATTACTATAACAAACACCTGACACGATGGGAACTTACATACAGAGAAGGTTTGTTTTGGCTCATGGTTTCAGATGTTTCAGTCCATGATTGACTGGCTCCATTTCTTTGAGCCTGTGGCAGCGTGGACAGCATATTATAGTGGAAGCACATGACAGAGCAAAACCACGCACCTGATGACCAGGAAGTGAAAGAGAGGAAAAGTAAGGGGCAGGGGTCCCACTGTCCACTTTGAGAGGTTGCCCTCAATAACTGGAAGGTCTCCCACTAGGCCCCACGGCTCTCAGTGGCACCACACTGGGGACCACACCTATGATACTTGGACCTTTGGAGGATGCTTATTATCTATAGTGTCCCCCCAGCAAAATCAGACAAAAACCCTTCTCCAATTTCTAGTACTTGCTGATTTTTATGGTGTAAGTGCTCTGTAATGGCTGATTTCAAGCCCAACATGGGGTTGCCCAAGGAAGGCTGGGATGAGGCTGCTCCAGGACAAGACACCTCCAGGGCAGGCCGTTCACCTGTGCAAACTCTAGGCTGAATCCTCACTTTTACCTCTCATTGTGTTTCGTTTTTTTGTTTGTTTGTTTGTTTTCATTTGCCCTACATATCTTTCTCAATTATTTAATTTTATCTCTTGGTACCAAGGATAGAACTCAGGGCTGCTTAACCACCTGAGCCACATCCCCTGTCCTTTTATTTTATTTTTTTATTTTGAGACAGGGTCTTGCTAAGTTGCTAAGGTGGGTCTTGAACTTGCAATCCTCCTACCTCTGTCTCCTGACTCTCTGGGATTATAGGCGTGCGCCACCATGCCCAGCTTATGATCTTATTTTAATCTTCTTCTTTCGTATATGTAAGTTAAGCAATATGTAGTTTTGTTTTTTTAAAACCTTCGTTGAAATTTATTGTCATTTGACAGAGAACTTTATCTGTTTATGTTTATTGTCACAATAAATACGTTCGATCTCTTGTTTCATGGTTACAGCAATTGACAGAGCAATGGCTTTTTTATGTTTCTTCTCACAGCAAACATGCTTGATTTTACATCTAATATTTTGCCATAAAAATTGATTTTCATTGCTTTTTTCCCCTCCTCTGAATTCTTGAGGAGGATTTTTCAAGTGTATCTCCTGTGTCACTTACAGTTTTCTACAGAGTCCTTCTTGCTTAGTTTTAAACTATCTCCAACGTGAATTTTAATTCTTTTAGTAGAATTTAGATTTCCTTGACCTGTTTTCTTCTTTAATGAGGCTCTTTTGCATTTATGCCTTCTTCTCCAATGGCTCTCCACTTTCGTTTCTTAGAGACTTCCTGAATTCATCTACATCTGTGTCTGCCTAGATGTAAATGAACATATAGATATGATTTACCAAGTATTTATATCTGTCTCTATGTATAGATAAATGTAGATATACACATAATAAAATATAAACAGAGACATAAATGTATAGATATATCTTCATGATTTATGGACAAGAATTTAAAAAAATTTGTTCATTTAATTTGGAAAATCACTTCTAACTTAAGCTTTTTTCTCTGGGATTTAGGGTAATGTTCTCTTTCCTTGTGTTTTAGTACCTTTTAAAGGCATTGAATGAACATAATTTTAAATGAAGCAAATCCTTGCATCATTTAGTTAACTATTCCACAAAGATATTACTTGTGAATAATAAGATATGTGATTTTCATGACAATGGATTGTTGATCCCAAGTTATAGAAGACAAAAAGTACATTCTCTGTGAGTTTTGAAGTCTAGAATAAAAGCAGTTTTAAAATAACTTGTTATTATAGAATTTATTTTCCTCTACTGAGAAGAAAGTCCAGGTGTAAGGGCAATTATTGGAATTCAGATAGATGAGAAATATTTGGTATAAAAATTGTCTAAGTGGGGTAGTAATCAAATTAGAATGGTTAAATTTTATTTGAGGTTTTCCCAATATCCTACTTAGAGTTTGATATTTTAATATGAATGCATAACATTTAGGATTTTAACAACATAAAGCAATTTAGAAATTTACAAGTTCATTTAGCAAAGAACTCTTAAAAAAGCAATGCGTGTTCACAGTTGACCCGTCTCTTCCTGCCTTTCTCAGGAACAGTGAATTCTAAGTGTATCAGCACCAGAAATTTATGAATATACAAATATCTATGTTCACGCATCCGACTTAGCAAGCCTCTTGTGAAAGTGGAACAATTTCATATAAGATATATGCAGCTTTCCAAATGTTGTTTATTTCCAAGTGTTCCTATAGAGAAATATGGGAGATGCCTATTTTTACAGACTTAGAAGGCACACACATTTCGGTGCTGGGAGTGTGAAACACCTGCTGGTGTAGAAAGAGCCAGAGATACTCTATTTTGACTTCAGACCTGCTATCAATATCCGACAAGAACACCTGCGCTGCGAATTAGTCAGTTGCTGCCCTCAGACTCCCTGCTGCGCGGTTCTCTCATTGCTGGAGGGCGGGAGGGCTGGACTGTTTGGACACATCTGGAGGAATTCTGCCAGTATGCACCAAGTGAAGGTGACCCGGATGTCCATCTTCATCTCTGCTCGGCACTACAGAGGCTAATGCTCTGGAGGACAGACCTTTAGTCATGCAGACCTAGGCTAAGGCCCAGTGCCGCTTTAGTTAGCTGTGCGGGCTTGGTAAGTCACAGAGCCCATCATGTATTAAGCAATTTGCCTTCCATCAGACCCTGAGATGGGGGCTCTGTACGTATCAGCCAGGGTTCAATCAGAGAAGCAGATCCACAAGGTGCAATACAGAATAACAAGTTATTATAGGGCTATGAGCATACATAATTATAGGAGATGGTTGGAATACACACATGAAAATGTAACATGTATAATCCCAATTTCATATATACATACATATTTCCTATAAAAATATCATATAATGCAGCATATACAAACAGTATATATATGTGTGTGAGTGTGAGTGTGAGTGTGAGTGTGTGTATGGGTGTGTGTGTCTGTGCATACATACTTGACTTCTTTGTATATTTCGGGTATTAACCTCTTGCCAGATGTATAGTTTTCAAATGTTTTCTCCCATTCCATAGGTCTGTTAATTGCTTCCTTTGCTGAGTGGAAGCTTTTTAGTTTGATGTCATTTTTGCCTTTTGTCTGTTTTCACTTTTGGTGCCTATACTTTTGAGGTCTTATCCAAAAAATACTTGCCAAGATCAATGTCATGAAGCATTTCCTCTGTTTTCTTCTTAGGATCTAAAATTTAACGACCACACTTTCACTTTTATAGCTTTTGTCAGTTTATATCATATTTTTACATATTCTCTCATTTGAAGCTCAGAACACCCAAAATGTAGGTAGACGAATCTTTGTTTCCATTTTATGAAGGAGAGGAACGGTGGCCAGTGTGGGGAGCACAGGTCCCGAGCTCAGGCAGACTTGATGTGTCTCCACCCTCCGGCAGGCAGCAAACAGGTTCTCTCTCTGTAAACATCTAAAAGTTGAGATTGGTAACCCTTATCTCTTTTGGTCATCATGGAATTTGACTGACATAATCCACATAAAGCACTCAGCTCAGTTCTTGATGAACAGGAAGTGCTCAATGAGTGGCCACTCTTACTGTGATATTGGGAAACTGAGGCTCAGAGGCATGGATTAATCTGATAGCATTTATCCAGTGAGTCAGGACTCGGGCTTCCAGTCCAGGACTCTGTTCAAATTGTTCTTCCTCTGCAGATAGGCTTCAGTTATTCATTTACTACCCTGGATACACTGCTGGATTTGACTTGCTAGTATTTTATAAAGGATTTTTGACATTTGTTTCCTAAGTGAGGTAGGATTTCAGTTTTCTTACATGTGCTATGTTTATTTGGATTTGATGTCAAGCTTATGATAATTTTGTAGCATAAGTCAGGTAGCATTTTATTACTATTGAAGAGAAGATTTATTGTCTAAAGATTAGGAAGAATTTGTCTGTCCAGCTTTATGGACTGGGGCCTTTGTTCTCCTTCTATCCCTCCCTTTCTCTCTCTCCTTTCCTCTCTCTCTCTCTCCCTTCCTTCCTTCCTTCCTTCCTTCCTTCCTTCCTTCCTTCCTTCCTTCCTTCCTTCCTGACCACCCCCTCTTCCTTCCTCTTGTGGTATATCTTTTTTTTTAAGTTATAGATGGACACAATATCTTTATTTTGTTTGTTTATTTTTATGTGGTGCAGAGGATCGAACCCAGTGCCTCACATGTGTGAGGCAAGTGCTCTGCCACTGAGTCACAACCCCAGCTCCGTCTTGTGGCAGATCATTAGTGTTGAAATTTATTTCAAGGTAAATGGTTTCTGAATTTTAAAATTTCATCTCATCCACATTTGATAATGCATCTGAAAATCTACATGTCATCTAGAATTGAAAATTTCATAGCACATGAAGTTGTCCATTTTGATTTTAAATCATTGTGATACCTGTTGTTATAGCCTCCTTTCCATTACTAATGTTATTTGTGATGTCTGTCTTTGTTTTTCTGAATCAGACTTGCTGGAGATTTTCCTATGTTATGGGTCTTTTCAAAGGTCCAGCTTGTGACGTTGTAAGCCAATGCTAGTATTTTTTTTCTGTTTATTTCTGTTTTTATTTATTTTTTTCTCAATAACCTTTGACTCTATTTTCCTGTGCTTTTCTCAGATTGTCAGTTGAATTTTTAGTTTATTATTTCCTAGTTTTTAAGTTTGCAATTCTGGTAAATGAATTTACATGGCTGTGAGTGTCTCTCCAAATACCGTTTGGACTATTTCACATGCATTCCAGTTCATTTGGTTCTAAATATTTTACAGTTGCTACTTAAATTACTTATTTAACCCTTTAACTAAAGAATCTAGGTTTCTAAATATATGGACTCTGGGAATTATCTTTTTTAGTTGATTTATGATTAGTTATACTTATTGTACTACCATCAGTGTGAGATCAGTTATTACAAAGGGTGTTGAGACATCCTTGGTGGTTCAAATACCAGGTCATTTTGGGATAAATATTTTATGTGCACTTGAAGAAACTGTGTAATCTGTTGGGCTTTAAGGTCTTCTGTGGCTTGACGGAGACCTTTCAGTTTCTCTGGGTGGCGAGCTGCGATCTGTTTTGCCTGTGTCTGAGCACCAACACGCAGGGTCTGCAGTTAGCAAGAACACCTGAATGGCAAAACTTTGGACTTTTGACCTGGTGGTGTGGCTCTGCCAGGTGGCTTGATTCTGCATGATGGCATTTTCTCAGCCGAGGAGCCGGCTCAGATCCAGAGAGCAAGCACGGGCCTGTCATCTTAGCTGGCTGTGTGCATGGATTTGCTCAGTCAGTCTGTGCTTCTGTCTCCCCAGGGGAATGGGCGTTGGCGGCCCATGTGGATGAAGAAACCCTCTGGTGGCAGACTCCACAAGTCCAGTCTCCTCCATGGCAGGCTTTCCTGCCGTGTGCTGCTGCTCGCTCTTCTAATTTGGGCTCAGTCTGCTTCCTACCTCTTCTCAGCCTCTGTCTGTGATGGACAATTCCTTGTTTTTTTTTCCAGCCTCCAAAATCTATGCTTGCTCAAGTCCAGTCCATCAAATGTTTGCAAGTGTGGTTAGTTTTCTGTTTTGAAACATAATCTGTGGAAACTCTGGCGTGCTGGGGTGGCATTAATGTTCCTACGTTGGGCTCCGCAGTGGACGGTTGCCATGCTTCTTTACTGAGTGACTATTTTTAACTGCTGTTGCAGTATAGCCAACATATAATAAACTGTTCTAATTTAAGGTGTGCCATCTGATCCGTTTTTATGTATGTTTATACCTTGAAATCATCATCCTAGCTAATGAGCTCCAAATGTTTTCTTGGGTCTCTTGTAATCTTTCCCTTCATTTCCTGGACCCAGGGCTCCCCATCGCCATGGCAGGCCCTGGAAACTCCAGTTAGTAAGTGGAGCCACCAGGGGGCTCACCTTGCTTATTTACCATCTGAAGACCACTGTCCTGCATTGCCCCAAATCCAGTGTTCTCAAACTCTGGAGGCACCAGAGGCAAGAGGAACAGCAGTGCACAGGATAGGCAAAGCAGATGGAGGGTCAGGAGGACATGGGGTTGGGGAAGAGGGTAAGATCCCTGCAAAAGTCACTTTCATCATGCACTTGAGTCACGTTCTAGGCAAAACACTACAGCGGCTCCTGGAATTTGATTCTACAGATTGACACAGTAACTTAAAAAAAAAAAGTATAAAATCATGGGTGGCTTGCCAAATTCTTGTTTTGTCAAATTAGGACATTAGATAGACAACTACTAACTATGATTACCAGCACTTCATAAAAGAGATGACATTTTACACTGAAAATGTTGGAAGACTCTTTATGATTGTCAGTCTAGCAATAATGAAGAAGCATCCTGCCCATTTAGCTTTCCAATAACCACTGGTATTTCTTACTTTCTGTCTTATACAGCAGGACAGCTGCCAGTCTCACTGGCAGACATTGTTCTCAGGGGCATTTTGAGGACCAAGTTGAACCAAGTAGCAACTGAACCCACTATTTCTCTCTGCTTTCTCTTTGCTGGTCTGTAGGAGACCTGTTGCCCTTTCTTCCCTCTGTAGGGATTCCTGCTGTGGCAGTCACTGTTTTCCATCTTCCCCTTCTTCCTGGGTTCCTACAAGACTACATTTCCCAGCTTCTTGCTGTTGATATAACCATATGACTGGTTCCAGCCAATGGGCTGGGAGCAGAAGTGTTATACTCCATCCATGGTGTGTGATTCTCCCCCACATTCCTTCCCTCTCCCTTGTAAAGGAGCTTCTGCTGACATGGAGGTGCCACAGATGGAGGCAGTCACCACACGGAGCGCAGCTTCTCTGGAATGCTGCCCACCCAGTCTCCCAGAGGACTTTGTAGGGGCAAGAGGTGAATTTAGGTAAAGCTCCAAGATTTTGGCCTTGCCTGTCCCTGCAGCTTAACTTGGTCTGCTCTGACTAATGGCAGCACCCAACTGGAGAAGACTGGCATCCGATTTTAATAATTACTACATAGAAATAAATATCAAACTGAAAAGAAAGCAATTCTCAATTTAAAATTTTGCATTTCAACTCTAATTCTCTTGAACTTCTTTTCATTTGTTAAAGATCTGAATTAAAATCTCACGAATTAGTTGGAGGATAAAAATTCAGATGGCCTGGCATTCCCTTTATTGTTTGATCTGATGTGTTTTTCAGGCTTCTTTGTTTCTGGGCATTCTTGGAGAATCTAGATAAATGATTCACTCTTGCATTTTCCCTCAGGGTCTCGTTCTTTAAAGCTCCTGTTCCATAAGGTGCCGGTAAATACAGCATGATTCCTTATTTTTGATTGTGTTCACACAGTGCCATTGACAGCTCTCTAGTTAACTTGATCTGAGCAAACAGCCAAGTTCATTCATTTGCATATTTTAAAAAATAAATAGTTGATTATTACTCATTTGTTCTTAAAGTCTTTATGGTGCAGCTACTGAATACTGGTCCCTGGTAAAAAGAGATATGAATGAGGGCAGATGTGCCTGGATTTCAGGAGGCCTTGAAGCCCCACAGAGAGCTTCAGGTTTCTTTTTGAAGATAGTAGCTGCATCCTCACATTCTCCTAAGTTCAGGCCACTGGAAAGAAGGTACAGTGCCTTTCGTTGTTTGTTTGAAGGAGTTCTGAGTCACCTGAACGTACCTGGGCTGGATACCTACACTGAAACTTCTGGCTCGAGGAAGAGAATTGTGGTCGTTGGCCAGGCCTGAAACAAACGCTTACTCTTGAACATATCATCTGGGGCAGAAGTCAGCAAAATCATGGTCCATGGGCAACCTGCCCATTTTTGTTGATGAAGCATATTGAGACATGTTGAGAGCCACAGCTGAAGGGGCCCCAGCAAACTTCCAGCTGCCAGCAAACTTCCAGCTGCCGGCTGATGATTGGCTCACAGCGGCCCCAGCAACATCTAGCTGATTGGCTCCTTGGCCCCAGCAACATCTAGCTGATTGGCTCCTCTGCAGTGATGCTCATTGGGCTGTTTCCCTGCCCTTTCAGACCACAGAGCTGCTCATTGGGGGACTTTTTTGGCTCCGCCCACGTGACCCAGCCAATCGGCCTCAAGAGCAGGAGGATTGTGGGAGGTGGAGAGAAGCTTGTGTGGGAGAGAGAGGCTTGTGGAAAGCCGGTGGTGGCAGTTGAGGCTCTGAAGGTTTTTCCTGAGAGGCTGTTTTGTTTGGCGTGTGTGGTTCTAAAAATAAAGTTAGTTTCTTTTGACAAATGGCTCCTGATTGTGCCCAGCCAGACTGCGGCATTTGGTGGCTCGCACGGGGAGCGACTGAGGGTAAGTGAAACTGCTCGCCCCTGAGGGCAGGGCGAGAGGATGGGTAGCCATTTTAAGATTCCGCTTTTATTTTGCTTCACTTTTGTTTTAAGTTGCCTGTCCCTGGAGATGAGTGAGACGGAAGAAAAACCGCTCACATCTGAGGAAAAACTATTTACGTCTGAGGAACAGATAGGGAGAAAGGACGGATGCACATGTCAGGAGGATAGAAAGGCTATAATGACTTTTTGTTGTTCCCTTTTTATTTCATTCTGTCTTGGTTTTGTTTGGCGTCATCTTGTTGGGTTGTATTATAGTAGAAATACGGGATCAGAAATTAGTAAAAAACAAACTGAAAGAGTGTTAAGTAAATTGTTAGAGGAAGGAGGCATCTCAGTAAAATCAAGAACAATCAGGGCATACGTTGATACAATACAAAAATGTAGCCCATGGCTTTTTAAGGAGGAGTTGTTAAATATATCACAATGGAACCATCATGGTGAAGATTTAAAAAGAATAGAAAAGAAAAGCCCAGGGACTCTGCCAGTTGGCACATTGCCATTGTGGACGTTCATATCTTGTTTGCTTAGTCCAAAGCCTTCAGTTCAGACAATGGTAGAGGAAGGAGAAGACATAATGATTCAAGTAAAAGAGAAGGTCTCTCAAGTTAGTCAGACAGAGGAAAAGATTCAAGTAAAAGAGAAGGCCTCTCAAGCTAGTCAGACAGAGAAAGAAAGTGTAAAACAGAAAAAGCCATCAGGGGGAAAGTTACAACAGGAGACTGCTACTAACACCTTTCTATCACCAGAGGGTGTAAGTGTCCAACCAACAGCACCACCTCTACAGGAGACTGCTACTAACACCTTTCTATCACCAGAGGGCGTAAGTGTCCAACCAACAGCGCCACCTCCATATGCTGGGAGGCCCCCAACCCCCGCAGTTGATAGTTGGGATCCTGAGACAAGATCTCAAATATTAACATGCCCTGTATTTGAGGCAGGAGGGCAGCGATTTTACCAAGTTTTAAATTTCAAAACAGTGAAGCAGCTAAAAGAGGCTGTAACAACCTATGGTCCTCAAGCACCCTTCACTGTAAGCATGGTCGAATCCATTAACAACTTGAACATGACGCCAGCAGATTGGGCTAATATGTGTAAAGCTGTGCTAAATGGAGGACAATACCTGTTATGGAAGGTTGCCAATGAGGAATTTTGCAAGGAGACGGCTAGGCGAAATGCAGCAGCTGGTTATCCTCAGAGAAATCTAGATATGTTGTTAGGAAAGGGACCTTATGAGGATCAGCAGCAACAAATTGCATATGATCCTGGCGTATACGCACAAATTGCTGCAGATTCAATTAAGGCATGGAAGACTTTACAAGGACATGGAGGTTTACAAGGTCAATTATCTAAGGTAATACAAGGAGCTAATGAACCTTATGCTGAATTTGTAGATAGGCTTATTCAAACAGCTACCAGAGTTTTTGGGAATACAGAACAAGCAATGCCATTACTAAAACACCTGGCTTATGAGCAAGCGAACCGTTGGTGCAGAGATATCATTAGACCATGGAAACATGAAGATTTAAACACATATATTAAATTATGTAGAGACATTAATGAACAAGAGCAAGTCGTGGCAGCTGCAGTAAAACAGGCTTTAGATGCCAGGCCAAGAACATGCCACAATTGTGAACAAACAGGACATTTTAAAAGGAATTGCCCCATTGGAGGAGGGTTTAACAAAACTAGGTATCAAAGGAGTAGAATACCAGGTATTTGCCCACGATGCCATAGAGGGAGACATTGGGCTAATGAATGCCGTTCTCAAACCACCATAGAGGGTACTCCATTATCAAAAAACGAACAAGGACCAGGTGTTTATCCACGATATCGTGGAGAAAGGCATCGGGCTCCATTGCCAAAAAATGGACAGGGGGGCCCAATGCTCCGGGGCCCAAAACCACAAATAAACGGAGCACTGGAGGAACCCAGCAACCCCATCAGGGTAGTGCCCAGGACACATTGTCCATCAGATCCCTCATCAGACAAACCAGAGGGAGCGCAGGGTTGGACATCTGCGCCTCCGCCAGAGCAGTACTAACTCCAGAGATGGGAGTTCAAATCATTCCCACAGGGGTGAAAGGACCTCTTCCCAAAGGAACAGTAGGCTTATTATTGGGACGCAGCTCTTCTACTCTAAAAGGACTTATGATAAGTCCTGGGGTAATTGATCCCGATTATGAAGGTGAAATAAAAATTATAGCCAGTTCTCCAAAGGGTATATCAGTAATTTCACCAGGAGATAGAATAGCACAGTTACTAATAATACCCAGCCTACATGATAAATTTTCCAGTCGTACTGTAGAAAGAGGTTCCAAGGGATTAGGCTCCACAGGTGTAGATTGGGCTATGCTTTCTTTAAATTTAGATTCTCGCCCCATGCTAAAACTAAATATTCAAGGACATGAATTTAATGGGCTACTGGATACAGGTGCAGACCTTAGCATCATCTCTCGTCAAGAATGGCCAAAACATTGGCCATTACAACAAGCCACTCAAATGCTTCGAGGCCTAGGAGTGGCAACTAATCCCCATAGAAGTGCAATGGTATTAGATTGGAAGGATCCTGAAGGATGTGAAGGAACTATACAGCCATATGTATTGGATCATCTTCCTATAAATTTATGGGGACGAGATGTCCTAGATCAATTAGGTTTGACATTAACAAATAACATCAACCAAAATGCACCCACTATTATGACTAGACAAGGTTTTAGGAAAGGAAAAAGATTAGAAAAACAAGAACAAGGTATAGCAGCACCAATACAAATAGATCAAGGAACAGACAGACATGGGTTGGGTTTTCAGAAAGGGCCACTGAGACAATAAAAATTACTTGGAAATCAGAAAGACCAGTATGGGTTCCTCAGTGGCCCCTGACTAAAGAAAAGATACAAGCAGCCCATGACCTGGTCAAACAACAATTAGCAGAAGGACATATACAACCTTCTGTATCTCCCCATAATACTCCCATTTTTGTCATCAAAAAGAAATCTGGTAAATGGAGATTATTGCAAGATTTAAGAGCCATTAATAATGAGATGGTTATTATGGGACCTGCTCAATCAGGGATTCCTCAGTTGTCTGCTTTGCCAAAAACCTGGTATGTTTTAGTTATAGATATTAAAGATTGTTTTTTTTCAATTCCAATTCATCCTGAGGATAGTCCACGTTTTGCATTTACTATCCCTGCACTGAATCATGAAGGTCCTGATCAGAGATATGAATGGAAAGTACTCCCTCAAGGGATGGCTAACAGCCCAACTATGTGTCAAATTTATGTTAACAAAGTAATCCAGCCACTTAGAAATCAAAATCCTGAACTACAAATATTTCACTATATGGATGATGTATTATTAGCACACAAAGATAAAAACACATTGCTAGAATGTTATGCCACACTTACAAACTTATTAAAAAATTATAATCTAGAGATAGCAATAGATAAAGTACAATTAAATTTTCCAATTAATTATTTAGGAGTTCTATTATCCTCAACCATGGTCCATCCACCAAAAATTCAAATACGAGTAGATCAACTCAAATCACTTAATGACTTTCAAAAGTTATTAGGAGACATAAATTGGATAAGGCCTTATTTAGGTATACCAACAGGAGAGTTGGGACCTTTATTTGATATCCTAAAAGGTCCATCAGATCCAAATTCACCCCGAATGTTAACGCCTGAAGCAAGAAAGGCATTAAAAATCATTGAAACATATATGGAAAATATGCATTTGGATAGAATTGATATAAGTTTGCCTTTATTATTTATTGTACTACCAACAAAAAATATTCCTACAGGAGTATTTTGGCAAGAAGGTCCATTATTATGGATACATTTATCTTATTCTCCTAACACTATTCTTACTAGGTATCCTGAGGCTGTAGGACAATTAATACTCAAAGGAATAAAAGCAGCAAAGGGAGTGTTTGGAATTTCTCCCAATAAAATTATTACTCCATATACTATGAATCAAATTGATGAGTTAGCTAATGAGTTAAATACTTGGGCAATAATCATGTGCAAGTCTAATGTTTCATTTGATAACCACTTACCATCTAATCCTTTATTGTCTTTTTGGTCATCGCATCCTGTAATTTTTCCAAAAATGACAAGAAAAACACCTATCATGAATGCTCCAAATATATTCACTGATGGGTCAAATAATGGTACAGCAGCAGTAGTTACCCCCGATCAAACTTTTACATTTTTAGTACCCAAACAATCAGCTCAAAAGGTAGAGCTTAATGCAGTTTTACAAGCTTTTGTGATGTTTAAAGATTCTGTATTTAATTTATTTTCTGATAGTCAGTATGTAGTTAATGCTATAGTATCTCTTGAAGATGCTGGTAGGATTTCCCCTTCTTCTACTGTTTTCTCTTTGCTTTCCACTATACAAAGTCTAATCTGGGACAGAAAAGATCCATTCTTTATAGGACATATCAGGGCACATACAGGATTGCCTGGAGCCCTTAGTTTGGGCAATGATTTATCAGATAAAACTGCACATGACATACATATTTTCTCTACACTAGAAGAAGCTATAAATTTTCATAAAAAGTTCCATGTCAATGCTAATACTTTACAAAAGCGTTTTAAAATAACTAAGGAACAAGCTAGACAAATAATAAAACAATGTCAAAATTGTGTGACCTTTTTACCACAAGTTAATCTTGGAGTCAATCCTAGAGGACTGATACCTAACCATATTTGGCAGATGGACGTCACACACTTGCCAGAATTTGGAAAATTAAAATATTTGCATGTTACAGTTGATACTTCTTCTGGATTTTTGATGGGCTCCCTTCATGCCGGAGAAAAAACTAAAGATGTTATAGCTCTTTGCTTACAAAATTTTGCCACTGTGGGTGTTCCAAAACAGTTAAAAACAG